GGAGAGATTTCGTTGTATTCTTATCTAAACACAGGGCTGATAGCTCATATAGGGGATTTCAAAGGTCTTTTATTTTGAAACTCCACATCAGAATGTCCTGATTTTTTCTGGGTGAGTAGATGGGGTGTCCTTCTATCACCCTGCAGTGAGATGAGTCTTGGATCAGGGAGAGATTTCGTTTTATTCTTATCTAAACACGGGGCTGATAGCTCATATATGGGATTTCAAAGGTCTTTTATTTTGAAACTCCACATCAGAATGTCCTGATTTTTTCTGGGTGAGTAGATGGGGTGTTCTTCTATCACCCTGCAGTGAGATGAGTCTTGGATCAGGGAGAGATTTCGTTTTATTCTTATCTAAACACGGGGCTGATAGCTCATATATGGGATTTCAAAGATCTTTTATTTTGAAACTCCACATCAGAATGTCCTGATTTTTTCTGGGTGAGTAGATGGGGTGTCCTTCTATCACCCTGCAGTGAGATGAGTCTTGGATCAGGGAGAGATTTCGTTTTATTCTTATCTAAACACAGGGCTGATAGCTCATATATGAGATTTCAATATGAGATTTCAAAGGACTTTTATTTTGAAACTCCTTACATTTTACATTTACTCGTGGTAGTTATACGTAGTTTGTTTTAAATAATTATTGATCACATTATATAGTAAATATTTCTTAATTTAATATGTTTGGTTTGTTTTTATAGGTGCTTTTGTTATTGACTGAGTAAGCGCTGGGATTTTACCGTAATGCTTCTAATATTCGCGCACCCCAATATCACGTGCGGGCTGGCTTGACTGTGTTTTCCCAAGTGGAGGCTGGCTTGACCGCAGTGTTAGACTACTGCTACTATTAGACACTGCGCCCACTCTGTTTCCAGATTTGAGAGAAATAAGCAACCAGGTCTGAAAACAAACCCAAAGAAAGCAACACATACATGATGTTGTGTAATTTTAAACCAAAACTAAGGCCTCAGGATGACTTTAAGACGTGAACATGGTCATTTTGGTTTTGTAACATTAAATAAAATAATTTTTTTAAGGATTCCCGATCCCGATCCCGATCTTTTTCTCCCGATTCCGATCTTTTAAAAATCACGTGATCGGCTCCGATCCCCGATCACGTGATCGGATCAGGACATCTCTAGTATATGCATGAAATTAGTATTTGTATAGTCTGGTTCCACATAAACTGACTTCATTGCAAACATATTTATACGGTTATTTAAAAAAATAATGATGGAAATAATTATTTACCATCTTGGTAATCAAACTCTCGTTTTCTTTGACCAAATTGAATTTTTTGAAAACTCCAATATTAACGTAAGAGCTTGTGCCTCTTCGGGGGGTGCTAACACTAAACCATAAATGTTATCGTTTACTTTCTCCGTCTTTATATGTAGATATAATTTTTTCTCCGTTAATCTCAGTCACGTTGTTTCCATAGCAACAACAACTTCCTGTCAACAGCGCCAACTCTCCTTCAAAATAAAAGCATGTCCATACAAAAAGGAAGCCAAATTACACATATACAACTGCAACGCAAGTAACAAACACAATGCAATATCCTTTTTAATTTCAAAGAACACAAATTGGGTTGTATACATTAACAAATAACTATAAAACAACAATACTGTAGAATAACAAAATGAATACCGTGAATAAACCGAAATACACGTGTTGAAGCGGTGCGCTGCTAATTACCCCCGCGCGGGTCGAATATTCGCTGCTGATTACTACCGAATATCCGGAGCCCGAAAAATGGTATTTGGGACAGCCCTACAATATAGGTTTTACGTGTTGATTTTGCTACCACCTAGATGTGAATGAAATGTCATGATTGGTGTCTGTTGGGGAAATATTTTCCTAGGCCAATAACTTTGACCCAGTTTATCAGTTTGTAGGCTACTGCCCTCGCTGAGCACAAGCTGTGCTCTCAGTATTTTGTCTCCCTGTTCCTTTCTGTTGGCGTCAGCTGATAGAGGTGTTATAGTGTTTTGCCTGTTTTATCTTGTTATGCAGAATGTTGATTATTCTCTCAGAACCAGATAAATACATGGGTCTGGGGTAGAGATCTTCAGAATTTGTTTGGCAACCGCTGTGTCAACTCGTGGTGGCAGCACATGTCTTATCAAATTCTCCGGCAGTAACTCCATAATAAACCATCAGTGTTTGCCATCAAAGTTCCTGCTCTCCCGTGTCTCTCTGAGTTTCGTCTCCATTGCTTCAGAAGTTTCCAGCACATTGTCAAAGTCCTGAAATGTTCAAATATTTTGTACTTTAGATTCCTAGAGAAAACTTTGAACATTATGGTCCTCTTATATTTGTTAAACCCTTATAAAAAACATAATAAAGCACTTGTCAGGTTATCCTTATACTAAGGATGATCTTCTATTAGCCTAGAATGAGTTCCTAAATCTTAGCTTTATGCATATTTCATATCAGCATTGGTCACAAATATGAACCATATTTACACGAACATTTTTGTATGAACATTGTCCTTTAATTGAAACAGTTATTCGTCAAAAGACAGCAACATTCCAATCTTGTTGCAGTTTCTGAAAGAACCTTCAAATAACTGCTTTTCTGACCAATTTAATTTCCCCTCAAAAAGTGGACCATCGTTGCAGAGCAGTGTTCAGTGGATGCGCTTCTTTGTTTAGACTCTTCCATCTTCATCGTAGAGCCCTGTGCAAACTTTTCAATCCTTCTTACTGTAATTACCCGTTCCAATTACAAATGCCACTCCTGAAAACAGGAAATCTTCTGGCCGTGTTGATATTACGACTCTCGCAGCCTGTACTCTACACCGGTATCAGTACACATTAAAGGGATGTTGAAAATAGAGACTTTTAACAAATTCCAAGGTATGTTATGATATCTGCAGATTATGTGCTAAAAAAAACTGTCACTCCACAAGCACAAAAGTACTTCCCCTTATTGAGTGCATTTCCACCTTTCTTGCCAGGTTTTTCCATAACGTTAGCAGACTGTTTCCTAGTTTTGAGGTGACAGGGTATGTGCTTGGCCACCCAAGTCTTTTGGCAGGTTTCCCATTTTTCAAGTCTGAATGAACATTTCCGAACTCTGTAAAATCTCTTGCTGTCATAGAAAAACATCCTCCAGTCATTGTCATCTTTGGAATAATAACACTGATTATAGCCTAAATCCCTTTTGGACTACCATAAATGTCTAAATGCTTAGGATTTGGCATCCTGTGTTGTTTAAAGAACAGAAAAGGACAACATTAAAGTGGAAATCATGCTGGCGGGACTCCCCACAGGAGACGGGAAGTATAGAACAGGAAAGGCCCTTCTGCTGTCATTAATTATGAATTATTGCTGTTTTTTATTTTAACCTATGCAATATAATGCCAGGGGAGCTGAGGCTATTCATTACCATGACACAGGGTGTATTACCCTCTGTATATTAACCCAATCCCTACTACAAACATTAGGTTTATTTAGGTCTACAGGATAACTAAAATGTACGTTAATCATTTAGTTTGTCTGACAACAAAAAAGTTGTGGTTGAGAATGTATGAGCAGTCCACTTTTAACGTTTCCTGAAATATTTCATGTCATCGATTTTTTTGCATAGCATTGTTTGAAAGTAACATTGAAACTGAACACAGAGAAATTGCATTTTTCATTTTGTTCTCAAGCTACTGCTATAATTAAATGTTCTATTTTGACAGGTTTAGAATGAGCAATTGCTTGGTTAAGAGTGGAAACCCCTGCTTGCCTAGAGGGTCAACTTATCTGGATGTATTGTGATCATGCTACAACTAGCCTCTTAGAATTATGTCACTGAAATGAAGATTAAGATATAACTTATATATTTAAGGTTGTCTCCTTTAAAAAAAAAAAACAACATTTTAATGGTGGCAGATTCTCATGTTCTTTTTTCTTCCTTGAAGGAACAAATGTTCTTCTAAATAAAAGTCACACATTAGCTCGAGACAATCACAAGTCTCTTAGTATTGCCCAAAAGGAAGCTGCTTTTCATATGATTACAGATAATAGTTTTCTTTTATTGAAATTGTCATCAGGGCAAAAGCTTGGCCTTGTGATAACTAAGTGAGCCTTCCCGTTTTGTTTATTTAAGTAGGTCACATTGGCTGCTTTTCATTTTGACAATATTTTCCATGTTACTTTACAATGTCTTTGGTGTTCCCTTTCCCCTGTGTATTAGACTAAACACACATAATCCTGGAGAAAGGGGTCAGGCAGATCATCAGTGACCCCAGGCCATAATGGAGAGCTACAGGATAAAGTTGTCAAGCTAGTGTTAAGACATGTATGCATCGCAACATGAGGTTAGTTGCATGCTGTGCACAAGTGTTTCATTCTATCAGCAACCGAGGTTACACACACAAAATACCTGCCTTTATTTGAAACCCCTGGCGCTTTTAGAGAAAACCTTGCACAAACCTCCTGTTCCTTTTATGACTAATCTCCCATTAGCAGATGTTTAGGGTCTCTGTCAACTGATCACATTGGCAGTATGGGGAACCAGTCTGGACAAGAAAGTGAGGCCTGGGTACTGTGTGAATTAAGGCCTTGTCTCGGTCTATATGTTAAGACAATCCAGTCCATTTCATGTTGGTGTTGCAGTGGAATGAGACTATTCATTGGAGGGGATTACACCACAATTTAGCATGTTATTATTTTTGTTGAAATCAGTTAATTACAAAGGCACAACTGTTGCTTCCAAGGTAGTTTGGAGTTTCATTTAAGCTAAATCTGTAGTTTACCATTGTCATGTTAAAACAAAGAGAACAAGTCAAGGGGAACAAATTGCCCTCCTCTTTAAAACACTGAAAGCATCAGCATTGTAGACTGAAAGGCAAAGCTGCCGTAATTCTAAGGTATCAGTCAGCAGGAGAGATCGCTTTTCACTGCTGTGACAAAAGGAGAAGGAGGAGGAAGGAGGAGTTAGGAGAATACATATTGCCAGGCCAGCCAATGCGGAGGACACCTCTTCCTGCTCTCCCCCTTTACTCTTTTGAATGGGGCACTCCTCTTCACTTTTCCTCTCTGCCTGGTGGAGTGTGTGTGGAGACAGTGCTGAAAAGTGTGTGTGAGGAGTGTAGTGGCAGAGTGGACATGTCACAGTTCACTCAGGGAGTTTAATCAAGTGGGTGGACGTGGTCAAGATTTGACTTTATGGCTAAAATTAGGACCTCGTTTGGAGTTTTGTTTTTGTTGACCCTCTTGGTGGTCTACTCTGATGCTTGGTTCTGGGACTGGACTGGTACTACTACTATGCCCCCAACAGTGGACCATGAGGGATCTGGCAGTTCAGAAGGTAGTGGAGAACCTTCATCAGAGAATATCGCAATGGTTCGATCTGAGATGATCGATGAGGGACAAGGGATCCAAAAGGTTGTGCCGACATGGGACCAGACCACTGAGGGACTTCGACTGACCACTGTAGAACCTACAACAGAACCAGAGAGTGGTGGTACATCAGAAAAGGGAACAGAAGGGATTTCATCACACATTCGTAAACCTGGTAATGGCAAATCTTCTATAAAGGGTATGGGTTCTGAAGGATCTGGTTATTTAAGTTTCACAGGAGATGTTTCAGGACTGGGATCTGGGCCTGGGTCTGAATTGGATTCAGAAACTGGGTCAGGCCTCTGGTCTGACTCTGGATTCAAGGCGGAATCTGGATTTGCATCAGGATCTGACTTTGAAACACAGGGGGTTTCAGATGAAAACCAGCAAGGAATAGTAATGCCCACTGAGCAATGGGCGTTAGATAGTGGAGAAATTTTAGAATCCCAAACTAATGAGCAAACATTTAAGTTTCAAAAGAGTGCCGGGATCAGTCCTAAAAGCATAAATGAGGGCAATCATCTTGGAAGCACAACATCAGAGCCAAATCTTTTTTCTGCTGAAATAACTAATAATACTAGAGGAAATAGCTCTAGTTTCAATTTGAATGACTTTGATATTACGATGTATTCTAAAGAAATCTCTACCACAACAGATTTACTAACCCCAATTGTGGGCAAAAACTCTGTAGAGACCACAGAGATACCTAAGGATAACCAAGTAGTGGAAATTGCTCAATTACCAGCCAACCAGGAAGCTTTACCTAACCAAGTGTTACAGACTAGACCTTTTCCATTAGCTAGCCAGGCACCTTCTACAACCCAAATACCAATTCATATCCAACACATTGTAATTACCAAACCACAAACTAGCAAGAGACCTGCCTTTTTTCCCAGAGCTGCCCAACAACCCAGTCAAGCATCAGCAGTTAGCCAGAATGTGGTGACTAGTCAAAATGGTCACATGTTAGATCCTACTCAAACATCAGCAAGTGAGCCTAGCCAAGCAATCCTAATCAGCCCAACAGGTGGGTGGGCACAAGCTGAAAGCCACACAGAAGAAGCTAAATCAGCACTTGTTATAGAATCCCCACAATGCTTGCTGCTAGATATTGCTCTCCCGTTCTGCTCCTCCATGATAGGGGAACGTTTTGTTGTGCCCAATTACCTTAACCAGAGCAGTGTGGAGGAAGTCCAGGTACTCCTAAACAAATGGGCGTGGCTGTTGAAGTCACCTTGCCACCATAGTTTGGAGTGGTTTTTCTGCCTTCTCTTGGTACCAAAATGTGGCGGTGAGCCGATGTTGCCTTGCCGGAGTTTCTGCGAAGTCTTGCGGGACAGTTGCTGGACACTCCTGGATGAGGGACAACTCCCTCTGGAGTGCCACACTCTACCAGAAGAAGAGGATGATGGGTATCAGTGCTTGTCAGTTAGTAACCAGAAAGGTAATCACTGGTTCAAATGAATCCCAAAACTAGGATTCATTTGAACCAGTTTTCAGTGTCCCTATTCTCCAGTTTGTCTGGTGTTTCCTCCCAAAACCCAATACCGATACCCAACTCCAAAAATGTATCATGTATCCCTTTCAGCACAGTCATTGACATTAACGATACCCAGGTTCCCTTGCAAAATAATTTAAAGAAAAATAAGCATGCTTCAAGTTTGTTAAAAGGTAAACGTTCTGGCTTTAGCCTAACAAGCATGGTGCCAACCCTCCTGCCCTACAATCCTACAATGTTGCATGTCTGTGCTTCCCTTGTCCTTTGGAATGCATGTGACTTACAACTTGAAGGTTATTATAACAACACACACACACACATACACACAAACACACACACACACTTACACAAACGCACGCACACACACAGTACAGTAAATGGGTTTATGGTTCATTTCAAAACCAAGTTATGTATATTTTCAGTAAATTATTCATTTAAAGGGTAATAATTACATGGTTTCGTACATATATCTTATCCTGTAACACAGATTGTAGTAAAGCAAAAGCAGTAAATTATGAAGCACTGATTAAATATTGTTCTTTTTAGGATATTTTTGTTATTAGCATTAATGCATCTGGAATTGCACAAGACAGGGCCTGACTTCTGAGAACAACGTGTGCATGGAAACTGTAGATAACTCGGCATGTCTCTTTTGACAGTGAGGGACTCGCAGTCAGCTCCATGAGCATCTGTCTGTCCAGGAATGGACAGATTAAGTCGTCATGCATGGGAAGCAGTCATGTTGCTTCAGTGGTTTTCAGTGGGATGTACATTTTTACATCTGTGCTTGAAAAAAAGTATTTCTTACTGCTAGCAAACGGCTGTACAAAGTGAATGATTTAAACAGTTGAATGCATATATTCAATGAATATTGCATGTCAAATACCAGGACAGTTTTGTTTTTGTGAAATGTCTCTTTCAAAGTAGTGTTAGAGCTTTGTCTAAAGTTCTGTACTTCTTTAAAGCCTTTTACTAGGCAACTGTCCTGCACTCCTCTTTCACTTCAGATCACTCAGAGTTCAAGACTGTGTCTTTTTACAGCTCCACTATCTATCTGACACCTGGCTTCATTGACAGACATGAGTGGACAAGATGTCTCCGGTTCCAAGACTAAGTGATGCATCTGGGCCCAAATAGATGTGTTACTTTCTGTGTTGATATCCAAAGTGCTGGTGTTTTTCTTCATCTGGGGGGTTAGGGTTAAGGCGAGGTTTTATGTTGTAAAAGCCACACAATTCATGTGTTCACTTTTTTGGCATTTACTGCAAAGCTTTACACTACAAGTGTTTGTGTTAAATAACGTGTAAGGAGTTGGTTTAAATGCTCTGACATTGATATTTGCAGCCTAAGGGACATTTAAAAACTATGATTTTGTAGACATATTTACTACCTGAGGATGGCTTTTATTGGCTCTCCAGAAGCTGGTTGTTTTAGACGTCATTTTGGGTATCACCTGTTTGAGTTGCCCCCGAGGTAACACTGAGATGCTTTCAGTCTCTCTAAATCATTCTTGGTTGGACAGAATGCCAGCACAGTCTAGCTCGTCTGGTATCACTCATACAAACACAGCAATATTTAAAATGCACAACTGGACACTGCTTGTTGGTGTGATGTTCAGATGAGTCTCAATCAACCAAATATAAGAAATGACTTTACTTTTTGCTTACTTATGTCTCTTTCCCCCCCATTTCCGAAAGATAACTAGACTCCTGAGTCGATTAGACGTTGCCTTTATGAGCATTCATCACATGGTTTGTACTGACAAAATGCCTCATGTGCCTATGCCAATGTCTCCCTGCTACAGCAAGAAGGCATACTGGTAATGTTTTAGAAGTAGTGAACAGCTTGGTGGGCTTTGGCCTACAACTAAATGAGGTCATACGTAAAAAGCCAAGATAATTTGTTCCAAAGCTCTGTAAATGTGTGCCCTGCTGCCCAACATGCCCTGTTTCCTAGTTAATTGGCCCAATAACTTTATCTTGGGCTGTTTTCTACTGCACCTTCCCACTTAGGAGCCCTTTGACCTCTTAAATTCACTGATCAGAGCCCCCGCCATGCAGGGTCTGGGAAGCTTTGACAGTCTGCAGCTTTGTTTGATTGATGTGTGGGAGGAGGGAACTCTTATTCTTGTTAATACCACCCTACTCCTACATCGTATAACTATGACCTGTCATGCAAGAATGTCTCATGATCTACTTACTTATTGAGCTGGTATAGTGGATGGAATTAAAGTTAGGCCCTTGGCATGGGGCAAGAACACAATAGAGATAAAGTTAAGTATGTTCATGTCGTTCCAAGTCGATGTTGGCCGTCGACGGGCGTCAGGCCGACGATGAGCGTCGAGATGCCCTACTCAGATTGGTATGTCCCGCACCATCGTGTCTTTTCAGCCGAAAACCCACCGATTCGACAGTCGGCCAAAGGCTGTCAGCAAAATAAATCATTCTGATTGGCTGTTCAGCTAGCGAATCAGTGCATGAGAAGCGAAACGGAAGTGAGGGACCCAAACAAACTATTAAGAAGGCAAATGTGAGATTTCATTTAACTCCAGCTCTCGACACAGGTTCGGGAAAGCCCCATGAGCTTCTCGTTGTAGAGTGAAAATGGAACGCACACGCTATTTGTTGTTTGTTTATATCACGCAGTCTGTTCTTCTTCTCTCGGTTATCACGCAGTCTGTCTTCCGGTTGTTGCCTCTTTGAATGACGAATACACACTACCGCCACCTGCTGGTAAGGAGAGTTATTGCCACTCACGCATGCACAGTTCATACGTGCTTCTTGGCCGTCGGCTGAAGTCTTTGTGGTGTGTTCCAGTGCGACACATGGCCAAAACGCAGAGACGCGAGGCGACACAACAGTCGGGGGTCCGTCTGTGTCAGTTTTTTGGTGTCAGCTTGGTGTGTCCCGGCCTTTAGATGTGTGTATGTGGGAGGTCGCTGTGGGAAGATGGCAGAGATATTGTTTGGGGCATGGAAACATTGAAAGAAATCTGTCAAATGTGATCCTTTTACCTTGTGGGGGGGGCTGCCCCTGTGGTAAAAAGTTATTGTTAGGGCATAATAGCCCTTTTAATGATGTTTTCCATGGTTACCAGTCCCCTGCTTGGAAGATGAGCAGTCACTCATATCAGGGTCTATAGGTCAACTGCAATTTATTTTGCTTAGTTCTTGACAGTAAAACTATATCCTGTATGAGGAACTCCTCTCAGTTTAGGCTCCTTTAATTGATAATAAAGGGGATTCCTGTCCCCGGCCACCCCTCTGGTGGTCTACAACATGAAACGGTAGATTTCCTGTAAGATAAACACTTCTGTTTGGGTGAATTCTGTGTACATTTAGTCTTTGTGTTGTGGCTTGTACACCCTTATGGTGGTCTGACAATGATTTGTAGCACCATGGTTCCTTTGAGCTGAGATTGATATGGTATCTCATAACAGGAAGGCCCAAAGCTGGCTCCGGCTCTTCAGCGTGCAGCCTGCCAGGGAATGATTTTGACTTGGCTCTCAGGAGGGTTCCAATTATGGGCATAGCGTAGTTCAACTTCTTTGCTGCCAGAAACTCATTGCCCCCTCTGGTTTGTGTTGAACCGGTACAAAACGCAGTAATGAGGCACAGGGATGGTAAAAGGTATTAGCTCTTAACTTTTTTAGAAGCATTTCACCTCTGCCTCTGTGAATATCATACAAACTATGTTCTTCAGGAGTTCTAAAGAATCATTAGTTCGTCACTTACAAGTACAGTAGAGAACTTGAACAGTATCTTATTTATTCCCCCCCTAAAGTGCACAGCTTGTGGTAGGCCCATCTTCCTTTTTGTGGCTTGAGAATTACAGTCTTCAGGGCGAGCCAACATGAAAACTCCTTCCTGGACTGTGATGTGGGTTTTAGTTTGATATCTCTTTCCGAGTATTCTCTACAGGTTAAAGACACCGCAAACTTTGCCCTGAATTCATAGAATATGCTTTTTCAGTAAAGAAAGGGACATTCATTCAAGGAAGGTGTACCTATTATATTAAAAACATCCGGTGTTAATTGTTCCATTTACTTACGTATTACATATACGCTTTCTAGTGGAAGCAGGTTTGGTTAAAGAGCTCTCAGTTTGTTTGAGTTGTAGTAATTATGGTACCATATTCCCTGATATAAGACAAGAAGAATAAAGTGCTGCTGGTAAAAATGTGTCTTAGCAAAACAAATCAAAAACATTGTCATTTTGCACCAAGTACTTGATATTGATTTAACATTATAAGCATAACAGGACTCCCTTTAGCCCTGTAAGAAGACGGACAGACATTGCAACTAAGATCAAACAGGAATCAAATAAGCAGAGACCAAAGAGCACCATATCATGTGACCAAATCTAATTAACTTCACTTTCAAATCAATTGGCTGAAAGTACGACAGACATACTTTGTGCTGAAGCGTTAGCATTGCTGAAATGTTTTCTTTACAATCATGGGGTCGTCATTTTTACTTCTCCAGAGGTGAACTCTGGCACTAAAAACGCAGGTCAAACCACCGACTAGCTTTTTCTGCAGAGTGACGGGATAGCCCCTGTCAGCACGCCTCAAGGGATGTTTTAAATGGTGATGGAGCATTGAAACAGCAACGTTTTCTCAGACTGTCCAGATGTTCAAATGTTTTCCCATGGATTACGCAGCGTCCCGTTCTTCCCAAAGCTGCGTATACAGCCTCACACTGTATATACAGCTTTATCAACAGGGTATCACAAACTGTGGTACCCCCAACCTGGAATGTTAGGACATGAACAAGTGCTGTGTTCCTGGACACTAAGCCGCCTTCTTTACAAGGCAAACTATAGCACCATAAACTCAGCACCGCTCCATTCATGAACAAACTTTTTCTATACCCCATCGGCCTTGAAGCTGTCATTGGTTAACAAAAGCAGTTTGTAAAACCTGCATTGAGTTTCCATTTAAAATGCTAATGCGGCACCTTTTGTGTACCCAATGATTTCTGATCTCTGTGAAGGAATGACTGGCTGGCCCATTTATGACAATGCAGGCACGTTGAAGAGGATTTAGCAAAAGCAATCCTTTACAAGCCTAAAGCAGGTCAAACCTTTGTATTTGCTTAAAGTCGGGAAATGAAATTGTCCTTACTAGTGTCTGGCACAATTACATAAGGATTGAAAAGTGATACTTGTTAGCATTTAGTGTTGGACCATCGTCTGTTTGTGTACATTCTACACATAGTCCAACAAAGTGCACATCTGGTGGATGTGAGTGATGACTAAAAGGTGAGATGGTTCCCTAATGAGGGGTTTGAGGAGCTTGGAATATGCATGTATGTGTGAGGATGTCAGCTGTTTGACTTTTGGGAGCAAAGGATGGCCTTACATGCAGCCTGTATGACCAACCAGACTCATATGTCAAGCTCACATTCCAATTGATTACAGACATTGAAGTCCAATCTGCATACAAATCCAATGTTTTTCATAATTAGCTACTTAAGGTTAACAAATGACATGTTCCATGCAAATGATTGAAGAAGTGAATTGCTGTAAATGGAGACATTTTGAGTACAAATGTCATCATTCAGTTGTGACACATGCTCATTTATGGAGTTTTCCTGCTTTAAAAATAGCTCACAAGCAAGATGTCAAAATTGAGCTGGCGTGTTTTCCCACTAACTACTGGATTACTGTAAAGTTTTGACTTTTTCTCCCCATGTCTGTCAGATAGATATAAGAGGGAGCCAGTGTGTGAGCGCAGGCCGACTGAAGAGGCCCTCCAGCTTTCTCATCCTGAGTTGATCAGAGGAGACATCTGGTTGGCCTGGTGCAAATGACTTTAATGTTACCTGCCATTCATGCAACAGTTAAGGATTCAGGGTCGGCCTCAGGTGTTCTGAAACTCGGACTCTGCGTCTGTCATTTCCCAGTCAACTTTGACTAATTTAGGAAGCAAATGTCTGTTTTATGCTAAGGTCTTGGATATCTCATATCTTTATGAAGATACATAAAGCTATTAATCCTCTTTAAGCTTGTAGCTTTGACCACGCTTATTCAAAATTAAAAAATATGCTACTTTGTAATTAATCCAAAGAGTATAAGTAAGAAGGTCAACACAATACAGTCATGTAGCACACGTGACTTTTAAACTTTTTTGCATTTGCTCCACTAAACTTGCTTTTCCAGATTTTTCTTGTGTTCTTGACACATCTTGAAATGTGCAATACATTTCATGAGGATTCTTCAGATATTGAAACTGCATAATTTATACTGGAAAGTATTTTTCAGTTCTCAGACAGACAAACATTCAGCCTGGTGTTTATGGTCGTACAGCAGAAGGCAGGACCTCAGGTTCAGCTAAACACCTCGTGTGTTTAAGCTCTCCACAGAGCTGAGTGCAGACCCACTGATCTCCAGCATCGGGGCAGTGGGGAGGCTTTGAACCGGGCAATAGAGCTAGCACATTAGACTCCAGGTGGTAAACCAAAGCAATTCTTCAAAGAACCTACGTCACACGTTCTCCCAAAACAGTGATTTTTCTTTTAACATGAGGAAACATTGGTTTTGATCAAAGCAGTAATGTTTAGTCTCCAGTTTGATGCTAGTTAAACATCCGAACCAGAATGGGGATGAGCACACATCACTCTTTGTGTCCCTTGTGTTTCCTAAACGCCTCCAATGATTATGCGCTGACCTCTCCAGAGTCACCCGGGGTGATGGAGGAGTGAGCAGAGATATGCAGGGGCCCAGCTGTTGGTCCCTGAGGGCCCGGGGCAGGGACATTCAGCAGATGTCACACAAGTCGGAAGAAGTTTTTATAGTGTCTTCAGGAATGTGATGAATAGATATAAATCTCTAGCCTTTTCACACCCTAGTTGTATTAGTTGTCAATATTTGGAAGACATTTTAGCTATGAATAATCAACCCACGTAAAGACCATTTGTAAATCAATTTAATTGTATCACCCATCTGAAACCTTAAAATTGCAAATATCGCAACATGTTCTTTAGGGCCATGCACAAACTTGAGACTGTTTTTTAAATATTAACATTTAGGGTAGAATTCATGTGTTTGGGCCCCCATTTAGTTCCGTTCTTCCAGACTTTTCTACATGTTTTGATTCTTCCTTTATTGTGGATGCATGCAAGAGTAATAGTTTTCTGTGTGTAATATTTCCATGTTATACATTTTGGTCCGTTGATGCAAGTGTTTTGCAGAGAACCCATGTAGTAATTATTCTATCACTACTTTAAATGATAAGGCTTAAACATTTTAATACGTTCCACAAGAAACATAAAGATATGTTTGACCCATGCAGAAACATGTTTCAAGTTGTTTGACTCAGATACTGCGAGCCTAAAGTGCCAAAGATATCTTGTAGAATATACATTACCTTAAAAAAGCCGATCACTTTAGCAGACATTGAATTTTAAAGACAAGATCAGATGACTTCAGTCCTGAAGTTGAAGTCTGTCGTTAGTCTTTGATATACAATGTCTGCTAAAATAATCTGCTCTTCTTAGTTTCAAATGGCCCATCCCTTTGCCTTTTATAATGCAAGTCAACCCTTTCCATCTTAGTTATAAACTGGTTTGTTTGTTTGTGGTCCCCTAAGCAAAGTTGCTTTGCCAATGCTTCTCAAAACAGCCAACAGGTTGTTTGGAGTCAGTCAAGGTCACTTTCTTTCCACATTTTATGACATGTGTTAATGCTGTTTTCAATCATTTAAAAACATTATCACCTATACTTCTGTTTGTTTTCTTGGTTTAGTACAGACTTAAAGACTCACTATACAAGAGTCCAATTAAAGTAACAGTATTTATTCCTGCATCCATCAGTCCCACTCCCTTAAGCCCGGTCTAACATTACACCCTGCCATGCAGCCCTCCCATCTAACCACCAACATATCCCCTGCATATTGTGGCCTCACCTCCTTTTTCTCTCCCCTTCTAGAAGAAAGTGGAGTCACCCTGCTCCAGCTGATTGGGGACCCCCCCCCCAGCACCATCACACAGGTCTTCGGGCCTGACAGCAGCCCTGGCTATGTGTTCGGCCCCGATGCCAACTCAGGTCAGCTGGCCCGCACCTACCTGCCGAGCCCCTTCTACCGAGACTTCGCCCTCATCTTCAACCTGAAACCCACCTCCGAAAGGGGCGGCACCATCTTCTCCATCACTGATGCCGCTCAGCAGATCATGTACGTGGGTGTGAAGCTGTCCGCGGTGCAGGGGGGGAACCAGTACGTCATCCTGTACTACACGGAGCCCGACTCCCAGCAGTCCTACGAGGCGGCCCGGTTCCTCGCGCCCTCCATGAAAGACACCTGGACTCGCTTTGCCATCGCTGTGAGGGACGACAAGGTGATGTTCTACCTGAACTGTGACACGGACCCTCAGGTGATGCGCCTGGAGAGATCCCCCGACGAGATGGAGCTGGAGGCCGGCGCCGGGGTCTTTGTGGGGCAAGCTGGAGGAGCTGATCCCGAGAAGTTTCTGGTGCGTATCCAAGCTCCGTCCGTTATCAACTAAACATTATTCAGGCCCCTGAAATCTGGAAATTACATATTTTCAGAGTAGTTACAAACATAATTGAATGATGAACTGAATTAGGCCTAGGTTACATGTACACAGATATTTTTATAAACAGGGTTTTCCTCCTTCATGTTTCTCTGAGTATGCAGGGTGGGCCACATGTGTAAGGTGGTGTGGGCGGGGGTTTGTGTCTAGGAGTGTTGCATGGGAACTATAGAGCGCATAAGGTAGGCCTTTTTGCTCAGTGTAGTGGAAGAGTACCTCTACAGTATATTTATGTGTAAACATGTAAAAAAAGTTTTTTTGGTCCCATCCACCGGTCATGATTGTATTTATGCCGCCGTTGCTCCAAATGTTGCCCCATTAGCGATGCCTACCAAAGAAGAAAACAACTATTATTGATTGGCTTGGTAAAGGCGGCTTTCTGTGTGTTCCTTTTCTTTTTTAAGTCATAGTATAGTATTCAAAATAATTAAGAATACTATGACAAATAATATGCAAAAAGTTATAGTAAATGATGTTGAAAAAAATGCATGGTTTAGTATGTATAAATGTATAATACATACAAAAATTGGCTAGGTTTAGTATGTTGAAAGATTTCTAATATATATCGTTAAAAAATGTATTGTGTCGTATGTTGTAAAATATGATTAAGTCATAGTACAGCAGGTCAAAAAAAGATTGTATTTGTGCCGCCATCCCTCAAAATGTTGCTCCATTATCAAAGGACATTACAGCACAAATTCTGGCATTACAGGTCAAGTATTTCGATGCCCTTTTTTAGCCATCTGTTCAACAACCTTGAACGGAGTTTCTGAAAACACTCACCGTGACCACTTAGTGACCTCAAACACTGCTTGGGTGTGGACATAAAAGGCGAAAAATACAAAGAAAAAGCTATGTCACAAAAATTCCTGTGTACGTGTCGTGTGGACTAGGCCTAGGTCAAACTAATTCCTGTGTCAGAAAACCACACATCTCACTTTCCCAAACTACCTCTCTAGAACCAACTTGAACAGCGCCAGGTCTCCTAAGCCGTGAAGTTCAGAAGAGTGTTTTGACTCTCTTTAGTCAATCATGTGAAACATCTTGGACAAATAACTCTCATATGATTTCATTGCTCAAATTGGCCTCATCTTAACGGAAACATAAATGTCTTGAGAGGGGTCTGAGAATAATTGGAAGACCTCACAGCTGGTCTGTAATTAACTTCAGTCACCTGACTGCTATAAATCCCAGTAGTTGACCGTAACAACTGTTGACCTTAGCTGCCAGTTGAGCCCCGAGCCTGTTTTTCAGGTCTCAGGCTCGAAAATGACATTCCCAGAACAATTGACTATATCTTCACTTCTAAAAAGGGGTATATTAATAATCTTTTTTCTCAAAGTAATGATAAACTTGTGAGTTGGATGTAGAAAAGTCAGAATCAATATAGAATTGTTTTATTTTAAAGTAAATTCAGATTGAACATAGTAACATTTTTTAAATGATAGTGTCCGTCCAAAAGAAAAACATTACTTATAGTGAAAACCACCCTTGAATGATGGGATAGTAGACTAAAAGCTTTAGGAATCCAAACTATAACATATAATAAGTACCCTGTATCAAGATTGATGCAAAACAAGTGACATTTGACCTTTTTAGAGAGATTTAGAAGAAAAAAACACTTCTGGGGTCATTTGGGTGCATTTTCCATATTTCTGGCCCCCCTCGTCAATTTTGATGATTGACACCTCTTTTTAACCGTTAAATTACATTACATTGCATTTAGCTGACGCTTTTATCCAAAGCGACTTACAATAAGTGCGTTCGACCAACAAAATACAAACTTGAAGAAAACAGAATCATATAAATACATCAGGTTTCATAGAGCAAAAACATTTCAAGTGCTACTCAACTGGCTTTAGATAAGCCAGTCCTTTATTAGTATATAAGTGCTTTGTTAATAGTTATATTGCTCGAAGTGGAGTCGAAAGAGATGAGTTTTCAGTCTGCGCCGGAAGGTATGTAAGCTTTCTGCTGTCCTGATGTCAATGGGGAGCTCATTCCACCATCTTGGAGCCAGGATAGCAAACCCACGTGTTTTTGCTGATGGGAACTTGGGTTCCCCTCGCAGTGAGGGTGCAGCGAGCTGTTTGGTTGATGCAGAGCGGAGTGCATGTGCTGGGGTGTACGGTTTAACCATGTCCTGGATGTAGGAAGGGCCAGAACCATTCGCAGCATGGTACGCAAGTACCATTGTCTTGAAGTGGATTCTAGCAGTTACCGGAAGCCAGTGAACGGAGCGGAGGAGCGGCGTGGTGTGGGAGAATTTAGGAAGGTTGAAGACCAGACGAGCCGCTTCATTCTGAATGAGCTGCAGAGGTCGGATGGCACATGCAGGTAGACCAGCCAGGAGGGAGTTGCAGTAGTCTAGGCGTGAGATGACGAGAGCCTGGACCAGAACCTGCGTCACTTTCTGGGTCAGCTGGGGACGTATCTTCCTGATGTTGTAAAGCGTGTATCTGCAGCAACGGGTTGTAGCAGCGATGTTTGCAGTGAAGGACAGGTTGTTATCTAGGATCACACCCAGATTCCTTGCAGTCTGAGTCGGGGAAACAATAGAGGTGCCGATGTTGATTGTCAGGTCAAGAGTGGGACAATCTTTTCCCGGAAGGAAAAGCAGTTCAGTCTTGTCAAGGTTGAGCTTGAGGTGGTGAGCAGACATCCACTGAGAGATGTCAGCTAGACAAGCAGAGATGCGTGCGACGACCTGGGTCTCTGAGCGGGGAAAGGACAGAATTAATTGGGTGTCGTCAGCGTAGCAGTGGTAAGAAAAACCATGCGGGCTAATGACTGATCCGAGCGAGTTTGTGTACAAGGAGAAGAGGAGGGGACCAAGAACATAGACCTGAGGGACCCCTGTAGTTAATTGACAAGGGTCGGACTCGGACCCTCTCCAAGTTACCCTGTAGGTACGGTCTTTGAGGTATGAGGTGAGGAGGGAAAGTGCAGAGCCTGAAACTCTATGTGCTTGGAGAGTGTGAAGGAGGATCTGATGATTCACCGTGTCGAATGCAGCAGACAGGTCCAACAGGATGATGACAGAGGAGAGGGATGCAGTTTTGGCAGTGTGCAGTTCCTCCGTGACAGCAATGAGAGCAGTTTCTGTGGAGTGACCTGCCTTGAAACCAGACTGGTGCGGATCCAGAAGGTTGTTCTGATGGAGATAACAGGAGAGTTGTTTAAAGACAGCGCGTTCAAGTGTTTTAGACAGGAACGGGAGGAGAGAGACAGGCCTGTAGTTTATAACATCAGACGGGTTGAGAGTGGGTTTCTTTAGGAGAGGGTTTACTCTTGCCTCCTTGAGACTGTTTGGAAAGTGACCAGAAGTTAGAGCCAATAGAATTGAGGGGAAGTTCCTAAAATCCATCTAAACATTACCCATTGGTGAATGAGTGATGCGTAGCCAGAATGCCCAAAGCCGGACGCTGTCATACACTCCCGTAGCTAATATGAAATCTCTGTTATTGACATAATTATGAAGATGGATTATCAGTAATCATTTCAAAGTGACACAGACACATTGGATTAACCTATGGATTAACCTTCAGCAGCGATTTTATCGTTTTAATGCCATTGAACACAACTTTTGAGCTGAAACAGCAAAAGGTAAGAAAATGTCCCGTGTTTGCTACCTAAAGCTATGTTGTGTGATGTCTGGTTTTGTTTCCCATGCCGAGTTCTGGTCGCTCAGTGATGATACTTATATTTCTGGAATCTGTGGAATCTCAGCTTGCTAATCGATATCTTGTTTGTGCAGATCTAATAAGTAATAAGGGTATTTTAACGTGAGTTCTGTGCTAAGTCCGTTAGCATTTTTCGCTCAGGGCTAATTCAGAGCCTTTGTTATTACCCTTGTGTTTCGTTTTGCTAAAAATTGTTAATATTGTCTGATAGCTGAGTTTCTTCCCGTTAAGTGGATATGAAACATTCATAGTTTATTAAATGTTAAGAAGCCCTCAGACGCTGTTTCTTGCAAGATGTTGTGTTTTGCCCCCGCCCGCGGGGTTTAACTGGTTATAGTGGTTCACCCACGGCTCCCTGCACGGAGAAAACACGCAACTGCAGGCATTTTATGAGTTATAATTGTTCTTCCTGACACTGACTATTGCTTTAGTTCAGGGATTTTCAAAGTGTGGGAAGGTGAGCCTCCCCTCAGAGAACATAACAACAGCCGCGCCCCCCCTCCCAATTATTATTGCTATTATTATTATTATTATTATTATTATTATTGTTGCTATAATGCAGGATTATTATTATCCAGTGGAATGCCCTTACCTACTGGCCTAGTTAAATCAAAGTGGTTACTTTTTTTTGGCTGGGCAGTGTAGTTTTACACACCGTCATGTTCATCGAGTCATCCGTGAGTAGAGCATCAAGTTGGCATGCCTATTACAGCTGAATGCGGCGATTACCATCTTGTTCAGCAAGATGCCTCACAAATATATTAAGATCAACAGCTTTAGTGTGTTTTGATTCAATGCTTAGTACAGCCACTTGACAGTCTCTAGTTCTCTGTCAGTGTAGACCGCAAATACCTCATTCCTTCCGTCTACTTGCGTCCGAATGCGCCGTCCCGTTCAAATGAAATCGCCACCAATCACATTTCCTCGCTCGCGCCAGGGCTGGGGGAGGGGTTACAAGTAGGGATGCACGATATTGTTTTTTTGAAACCGATACCGATAACTTCCTGCTTCTCAAGACCGATACCGATAATAATATAATATATATATATATTAAATGTACCTGTAGTTTTTGCACACCTGGTGGTAAAAAAAAGACTAGTAGTGAGCAAATGACATGAGCATTACTACTATGAACAAAACAAAGCCAAGAACAGTTTTGACTCTCGTCAAGCGCCATCATTTCTATGATGAAGTTAGAGATCGTTTTAGCCCTGGGGTCGTCTCTGGCAAACTTCTTGCCTTTTTCAAAAGCCTCGTCGATAGGTAAAAGCCCCGGTGCCTTTGCAGCTGGCTTTGGATTCGCCGCTAGTTTAGCAGCGCAGGCGTCTTCGTACGCTTTTAACACACCATCGTAGCGATGGCGATGTTTCAGGTGACTAATCAGGTTGGAAGTATTATAGCTTGTTGCCTTTTTCCCTCCTCGTGGAACTTCTGCATTGCATTTGTTAATACAAATAGCAAGCGAACTATCTAACTCTGAAACTTTGAAATAGTCCCATACTACCGACGACATGTTTGTTTACTGTCCTGGCTTTACGGCCGCACACCATTTACGTCACAGCCAGGCATGAGTTAGGGAGCGCTGGATTTGTGAAAAACTCCCCTCTTCCTAAACCACTAATACCACAGTACTGGCAAAACGGGAGGAGCCGAGTGAAAAACAAGCGCCCCTCATCCCAATCCACCCACACCGCAGTATTTCTTTCTTTTTTTTTACCCAAAAAATATATTGTATATTATCGGGGCTATTAATACTGTTATCGGGTTTATCGGGATGACGTCATAATTCCTAATATCGGACCGATAATTATCGGGCCGATAATTATCGTGCACCACTAGTTACAAGGCACGCGTCTTGTGCTGCATTCACTTGCACTCGGACATTAGGGATTTTCTCTCAGCAACGTCCGATGAGCCACAACTTTTATTTCAAAACAAAGCTGCCAACTGGGGTGGCAGCTGGGGTGGCAAGGCTATTTTTAGGGTGGCAGTTGCCACCCGGTAGATCCGCCCCTGCTTGACCGGTACTTGCTTTTGATCAAAGTCAATGCAGAAAACCCGCACTTACACTGGTAGGCGGAGGTGAAGGGAATGAGCACTTTTACAGCCTTTTTGGCGAGGTGGGGGAACTCCACTCCACAGACAGCCAAAAGTGTGCAAGTGACGTTTTCTGCCAGAAGCTGTCTCCTCTCTCACTTTAGGTAACTTCACTAGAAATCGATCCATGTTGCAGCTCGCAGAAAGTTAGCTGAAGTTAACTAGCTAGATTTCACTGTTTCTCGTTATTTGCCCCCAGGGGAGGCGCGCCTCACACTTTGAAAACCGCTGCTTTAGTTCATTTACCTAATACTTACATATTTCTATCGGACAAACAATCAAGATTGTCTGTTTTCTTAATGTTTTTATGTCATTATAATTTACTAAAAGAATCATATTAGAGCCAGATATTAAATAAAAATCAATATTTCCAACTGAAAATCAAACCCTCCTTTGGGGAGAGAAGATACATCTGTAAATCATGCACATCTTCATTATTTAGCTTACCAAATAAGACATTTTATGAGACTTACTGACTTACATGCAAGCTATTTGCTTGCTATTCCTTATATATGCATATATCTACTTTATGTTCAGTAGATACAGCATGACCTGGTTGTTTGTAACTTTTGAGTGACACTTTTGCATGATAATGATGGTCGGTGAGCCATTTTCATTGTTTAGTGTTCTAGTCTTTCTGCTCATATGGACTGAAATGAGCTCTCTACTGAAAATAAGACTAAAGGCCAGGAAGCCATAAAGGCAGAACACCTTATATCCATTTTTAAAATTCCCTCCATCCACTGATATATTATTACATATATGGGAAACAGGGAGATATGTTAACACTACTTAATAAGTCAAAATTCCCAAGAAGTTCTTCCCATACATGTTAGGGGGATTAAGTGTTTCCCAGCTGAAACCCTAAATCTGTTTATTGCTGTGTTTGAAGACAGCTGCTCATTAGTTGTAAACCACTTTGCAACTCTTCCTCACAATTCCAGTTGTTGTTATTACTTGAGCCCTTCTGAGGTATTCTCTTGTGTTCAGAAAGATGTATTATAAAGTGTTTACTTGGAAAGACCAAACAGACCCTGTTCCTTCTGTGTTGACCTTCACATGGCCCTCAGCTGTAGAGGTCTTGTAAATTCTCTAATCAAATGAAGACTTGGCGGGCTTCTTTTGCATTTAAATATTTACATATTTATAAAATGGACATTCTTAAAGAGGATTTGTTTAGCGATGGACCTTTTTGTATATAATCTAAGATTAATTGTGAAGATCTGAAGCACTTTGTCAGAAAAAGACTATGACACATCGACTAAACATCGAGTCAGCCAGTACAACCATTACATTTCAAAGAGCTTCTTCTGTTTATCTTCAAAGCTCTTCTGATCTTTCTTCTCAGGACATAAATGTGTCCTAAAGAGTTGACTACAAATAACCCACCAGCAGAGAGACCACCTCTCATTCAGAGCTAATGGCCCTGTGATAGGCAGTCAGATAGCATGAATGCCATCAGTGCGAGTATCCTGTGTGGAAACATGTAACAGATTGTGTGTGGGCACAGATAGTGGCACTTCACAGGCAGAGGCTAACACTGAGACATCAATAGCCCCTGTGATTTTGTGGAGAGGGGGAATTCCCTGAGAGAAAAGGCAGCAAGTTCACAGATAAACATCCATATAATGTATGATGAAAGTAAGACATGTGTGAGAACAAGTGCTGCTCTATATATTACATGTATCGTTAACATGAAAACACCATGTCCTTGTTTTGCTACAGGGGGTGATCGGGGAGCTGAGGATTGTGGGAGACCCCCGCGCTGCTGAGAGGCACTGCGAGGAGGATGGAGACGACTCAGATATGGTGAGTTCAGGTTCAGGTTACTTTATTTGTACACTTTGGTGGATTTTGTTTGCAGTAGACAAGGCATCCATCTTGACACCAAGTTCACGAACACACAGAGAATATACAGTGGTGATGAAAGTTGTCTGTACTACATTAAATCAATAAACCACAAAAATAAAAATGTTGCTACAACAAGGTTAATCTGAGTCGTGGCTGCAACCAGCGCTCTGATGTCGAACATTTCAGAGTGTAGTATTCACAAATATTAGAAAAAACAGCAAAGAAAATACACAGTATAGCATCTCGAAAATATCACAAACAGAAAGTATAAAATGTCTAAATATGCAAAAAAACAACATAGTGTAGTATGTTGAAAGTATGAAAAAAATGGTACACAATATTTTCCAGAAAATCGAAGTTGGGAGGCTGAGGCAGTCAGCATGTGACGCATCTAACAAGTGGAATGTAATGAAATGTCACAAATATGAGAAAAAAAACATAGTATAGTTAGTCAATAATATGAAGAAAACAAAAATATATAGTATATCAAAATATGTCAACAAAAGGAAAAGGGCATAGTATAGCATGTAAAAAAGGCACAAGAATTCCATAATATAGTTGTCTAAAATAGGAAAAAATAGTTGGTTGAAAATATGCAAAAAAACGACATTGTATAGAATGTCAATTTTTTTTCCTGCAAAGCAACACAGTATAGTATGTTGAAAATATGCAAAAATTATGAAGAAACACCACAGTATACTATCCCAACATTTTCCCAAAAAACGACATGTCAAAAATATGAAAGAAAGGACATAGTATAGTAAAAATATGCCAAATAACGACATGTTGTATTATGTCGAAAATATGAAAAAACAGTATGTCGAAAACTTCTGAAAGAAACGACAAAGTGTAGTATTCCAAAATATTTGAAAAAACAACAAATTATAATATGTTGAAAAAATGCCAAAGAATGCAGTAATGTCTAAAATAGGAACAAATAATTGGTCATAAATATGTAAAAAGAATCTATAGTATAGTATGTCGAAAATAAAAAAATAAAAACTGAAAAAATGACATGTCTATTTACATTTTCATCAACTGCTGAAAAATGAGATGTATTTTCCCGGGGGGGATGCAGCTTTCACCTCAGGAGTTTCAGCCTTCATGTGAATAGTTAAACTCCTTTCACAAGATTATCATTTTAAAAGGAGTCAGCTGAAAACATGAACAAATCTGCCGGAAACACGGCTTTCAACCGACTCATGGCGCTACCATTACCCTAATTGGCTAACTAGCTGCAGCTGATGAAATCTGCCAGCGATAGTTCATTTCAGCTTCCAAAATTGAGATGAGAAGCCTTCTTCAGAGCTCCTCTGACTGAAATCAGGGACTCGTGGTTTCAAGTATTACTCATAATGTTGCTGGTGGATCTACCTCTGCATTAGAGAAGCCCTAAAGGAGCACAAGTAATGACATTTAACTGGGTTTGTTGATTTATTCCAGCATGTTACATCAGTTACACTGTAAACAATAGTGAATCTGTAAAAGATAGGAGTGTAAGAGCAGCATTTTCCACTGACCCCGACCACCCACACACAAACACAGGTGCCCCTCCGTAGCCCCCCAGCAGTCTTTACTGTTATTTGGTCAAACATTGACTTCACAGCTGCCGAGACCACCAGAACCTCACTGACAGAGGAAGGTTCACTCGTTGCCTTCAAATCTTTAGATGTCCTTTGGATTAGACGGGAGAACCCCATTCTGAGTGGAAATGACAGGTTTCTGATTTCAGGATGTCTTTTATCTCAAACACACACAGCTGTTCACAGGATGCACTCAGGATTACTAAAACACTGTGTATATTTTTCAACAAGGACCTTGTCAAAGGGAGTCATAAAATCATGTTAAGAGCAAAAAAACAATATGTCATTTAATAAAAAGCACACACAATAACTCAATTGCTTTTAGAGCGGACTTCAATTTGACCTGGAGACAATTGGACATACAGTTAAAAGAGCATTTTCAGATATAATGGTCAATACACTCAAACAAACCTAAAGAAAAACTTGATCACATTAAAATAAAATGTCTGTTCTCCTCAGGCTTCAGGTGATGGAAGTGGCGATGAGGAGAGGAATTCAAGACCAGCTGGGGAGACGCTCAGATGGACGGTATGGAACAACTTTTACAAATATACAAATAATTGTCAATATACGACTCTCACTGTTCCTCAGCCCTGTCATCTGATGACGTGCAGAGACGTTCCGCTGATGCACTTGTGATAAACTTCTAAAGTTAGGGGCTCTAAAAAGAAAGGCCAGAAAGAATAATAAGAAATAGAAAGGAACAGTTTTAATAGTGAAAAATAATGAAAGTGACCCTAAACACCTGATAAAAAAACAGTTTTCAGAGACTCCATCTCTGTCAATATAAGGTTAATATCCAAGAAATAGCTGTCCTGCTTGCAGTTATTTTACTGCACTTCTTCTCCTTGGTACATAATATTGAAGCAGTATGGTCTATACCATTTCCCCCTGGAAGGTTTGTTTGATGGATCCTTTTAAATAACTATATAAGTGAGTGAGAAGAGGAAGAATGCTTTGTTCCCTGAAGAGGACCGAACAGCTGACCAGTTCGACATGTATACCTGACAGATTATTAGCAGCAGACCACTGTAAGGTATACCTCTGATGTCTCAGGTTACTCGCTATAAGTGAGCGAACACACTTATCCCTGAGGAGAGATTAAAAATTGCTGAGTTGATGGCTGGAAATGGAGCTTCTTCTGTTTTATAGATCGTGGGACAACGACTTTTTACATGGAGAGATTCCTCTGGTCAGACTATAGAGGAAATGGGGGATTTCCAGAGTTAAGGATTAGGCCTATATCATCATTCTGACATTTTATTGCTTTCTTGTTTACTTATAGAAAGTCAGCAAGAAGAGTGTTCACAGTCGATCGATGGTTTTAACATTTTAAAGCACACTTTTCTTTTACAGTAGTGGGATCATCTCTGTTGTGTATCAATTCAAACACTCACCCTAGTACATTGCCATGTTTTCTACACTGTGGAAAATTGGGCAGAGCGTGAATTTTGACCATGTGGTGTTGTCCCAGATCACACACAGCCATTGTGCCCTCACCGGAGATAGGTATGTTGTTAGCTAGATAGCTATGTTTAGCGGTAGAAAATAATTACAGACAGCTCAATTAACCCCCAAAAATATACTGTGCCTATATTTCAACACCATTATAGTGGTTTGTTTATTAAATAGTGAAAAAAGAACCATGTATTACTTTTTTTTGGTAATGTGATTTATTTACTTTACTGGAGCAACAGCAATTGCAGCTGATCGTGTGACTTCCATTACGTAGCCAAGATGCCAAAGAGTTTAAGGCATTATTTAGATTATGGAAGAAGAGTCAAGAGTTCCACACGCGTTCTGAATGCACCACCCGGGTACTCATAGTGCATTTTGACATACTATTATTACGAACGCTAATGTTGATAGATAGCCGCTATGCTAGCACTGGGATGCACATATGCAGCCAAAATAGCAGATGTAAGAACAGAAGGACACACATTGAGACTCAGCACTGCATTCAGGTGAGGTGCTCTGTATCGACTTAGTTATATACTTGATCACCTCGATTAAGATACCACAAGATGTCTGACGGACAGTTGTTTCTTACCCAGCATGCACATTAGCCGCATTCACACCGAGTACTTTTCACCCGTACTTTTCGCGTTTAGTTCCGTTAGTACCCCTGATATCGCGTTCACACCAAAAAAATAACTAAGTGCCGGGAACTTTTCACCCCATTTTTAGCGCCTGCTGAGAGCAGGTACTTTCCTGGGGAAATAAAGTACCACAGTTCTGATTGGCTGGGCGATTACAAAACACGCCCCGTAAAACTCTGAAATGTTTTGTAGAGCCGCCATTTTATTATCCTCGCATTAGCATTATTAGCATTAGCATTCGCCCAGCACAGAAACGCAGAGAGACTAATTTATCCATCCATCTTCTCCCGCTTATCCGTGGTCGGGTCGCGGGGGTAGCAGTTCCAGCAGAGAGCCCCAAACTTTCTTTTCCCTGGCGACATCAACCAGCTCTGACTGGGGGATCCCAAGGCGCTCCCAGGCCAGCGAAGAGATATAATCCCTCCACCTGGTCCTAGGTCTACCCCTTGGTCTCTTCCCAGCTGGACGTTGCCTGGAACACCTCCCTAGGGAGGCGCCCAGGTGGCATCCTAACTAGGTGCCCGAACCACCTCAACTGGCTCCTTTCGAACGCGAAGGAGGAGCGGCTCAACTCCGAGTCCCTCCCTGATGACCGAACTTCTCACCTTATCCCTAAGGGAGACACCAGCCACCCTGCGGAGAAAACCCATCTCGGCCGCTTGTATCCGCGATCTCGTTCTTTCGGTCATGACCCATCCTTCATGACCATAGGTGAGGGTAGGAACGAAAATGGCCCGGAAGACCGAGAGCTTTGCCTTCTGGCTCAGCTCCCTTTTCGTCACAACGGTGCGGTAAGCGACTGCAGTACCGCTCCCGCTGCTCTCCGATTCTCCGGCCCATCTCACGCTCCATTGTTCCCTCACTCGAGAACAAGACCCCGAGATACTTGAACTCCTTCACTTGGGGTAAGGACTCATTCCCTACCTGGAGTGGACAGTCCATCGGTTTCCTGCTGAGAACCATGGCCTCAGATTTGGAGGTGCTGATCCTCATCCCAGCCGCTTCACACTCGGTTGCGAACTAATTTATGGCAACACAAAATAAAACATGGGAGCGGTGGAGATGAGGAGGTGTCTGCGTTCTGGCGATTTACTCGGAAGGCTTCAGTAGAAGCTGCTGGGACTCCCAGCAGCTTCTACTGAAGCCAGTCCCCAACTCCGGGCCGGGGACTTCCGGCCGGGGACTTCGGGTGGCAGTATACGCCGTGAAGTTGTTTGCGGCCTGCCAGTAAACCCAAAGCAGAAGAAGACGAAGTGACGTCAGCGGCTCATTTGCGTAATCTTCACTCAGGGAATTTATTCCGGTGTGAACGCGATCAGCTCTTAGTTCCATAGGGAAACTAAGTGCTGGGAACTAAGTATGGTAAAGTACTTGGTGTGAACGCGGCTATTGGCTCTGTTCCATACTGTCACACCCCTTCATGTTCCGGTATCTCTTGGCGTCTCCCTTCATCTCTTGTCACTTTTTCGCTACCCCCCCCCACCCCTTTTGTCTTCCTCTCTCTGCTTTCTGTCTCTCACACACACAATCAGATTCCATAGACACCCACTCACCACCACCCCCCTCAAAGATAGCCATGCAGGCTGAATTCAGCGCACCCTGCTCCCCTGTGCGTGCATGCCCTCCCACTCACAATTATAGTGGAGTTAGAAAAACCAGATGTCAATTTGGACTCGATCTGATCCAAGTCAGATCCCCCCCCCCCCCCCCCCCAGCGCCTCAAGCTTTGTTATTCTGACTGGTTTGTAAATCAACTGTGTACAGGAGCTGACAGGGGTGGAAAGAAAGTGAGAGACGATGACGGGGGGGAGGGTCGGGCGTCGGAAGTCTCTTCATCATTACTGCCATATTACCTGCAGCTTTTATAAGGGGGATTTTCCATCTGTGCAGTAGCTATTTATCAAAGGATGTAATGCCATGTACTGTAAAAGACAACAGCTGGCATCTAATGTCTACCTGCCGATGTATTCATGGAACATACACTATGGACCGCGGTGAGACCGGTGCAATTAAGGCAAGTCTGGGCAGAGGGGAGTCAGACGGGAGAGTTGTTCTAGTGGAACTTTCCATTTTGTCATTCTGGAATCCATGATGATAGATGGCAGAGGAGGCAGTCACCCTTCACTGTGTCACACTGCAGGCCAGCAGCCTCCTCCAGCAGGAAGCACAGAGGACACGTTCAAGAGCGTGTGAGTGATTCAGGGAGAGGTCAGATGCTTGGTAGTTCTTAGCAACGGCCTATTTATGTCCATCATGTTAGGAAAGCTTTTGTAAATTCTTAATCTGGACACCTTTATAGATTTGTTTTTATTAGGAGTTATACTGGCTAAATGTAAGACTTGGACTTGTTCGCTGTGAGATTTCGCCTTACTTGACCTGAAGTCAATTAACTGAGGAGACTTGACTTAGTAACCCATAAATATTAAAAACATCTATACTGAATGCAGTTATGACTTTGCAAGCTCGGCCAAACTCTCACAATTAATTTATGACATAACCAGGCACCAGAATAAGGTTTTTTTTTATTCAGATGCTTTCAATATGAAATGTATGAATTAATAAATCTGTACACATAAATGAGTAACTTTATAATTTCTCCTCTTCATCAACATATCACATGTTTTTCTCCCTACAGCCTTGAACATTTGAAAAAAAGCACAAATTATTGCTTTTAGTTATTAAAACAGCCTTTTTCGTTATATATTTTTGATCGTTTTTTGTCTTTTCCTCAATATTAGAATTGACTTTTGTATGCATTCTGGCTGCTCACTGCTCACATCCGGACGCAGACTCTGCTGGCTCCGGTGCAGCTCCAGCCCTGTAGCCTCATACTGTTGTCAGACCAGCTGCTAACAGCAGCTCTCCACTTCTTCATGTGTGCACTTGGTATTGTTGCTAGGTGTTTTAGGGACATTTTATGCATCCTGGCCTGTTTTTAACAAGATGTAGGATCCATCACATCTCTGTCAGATAACAGTCATTCGGACCTGGTTTGGCTCAGAGGGGCTGTGATACCTGTGGGATAGATTTAGCAAAAGTGAGACCAAGTGCTGAAGATGTAATGCCTCTACTTTCATACATTGAAATACCAAGAAGCTAACTGGTTAGCTTGGAGTCATGTTTTGCATTAAGTTTGAAAAGTTAAAGCATGATTCCACTTTATTATGCCCGTAAAAGTTGAACAAAGCAGAATCAAGCCTAGGTTCTGCGTTTTATAAACAGCCAGATTGTTTTTCTATCATCTTTCTGTCATGGTTAGTTAACCACACAAATCCAGAAAGCTCCCTCTGTGATTCTCGTGGGGCACGCAGTAAAAAAAGTAAAAAATGCTTCCTGCACTGCTGCAGAGGTTGAATAATGTTCTTCGCCGAAGGAGCTACATACCTGCTCTTATATTGGGGGGGAGGGGGGTTCAAATCCATCAACACGAAGTTCTAAAGAGGGGACCCTCCCACCCGTCAGCCCCTCTGTGATGGATACGTTAAGGAGCGAACAGGCAGGGTATTCTCTTTCACATTAATACATATATCAGGCTACAGCAGGCAGAATTCTTAGCATAGCCAGCGCTCCACAGCGGGGGGGAACTGGTTAGTTATTAACCCCGGATCACTATGCTCCTCTAGCTGCCCCCCCCCACCCCCTCCACTCTTCATCCCACTCCTCACTGGAATTCCACAGGTGACGAACCAAGGTGTGTCACCGATGAAGAATGAGTTGCGGGGGGGGGGGGTATTTACATTATTCCTCCCCCTCTCTTGTTTTTACCCAGAGGCAGTACAGCATGTCACTCAGTCCTGGGCTGAAGTCCAATAGTCCATTTAGCTTAGGAACCTTCCTAACGGAGTGAAATGACCCGGAAGTCCCTCAGTGGCAGCCATGATAAGTGCCGTTCCAATTCTCTAGATGAAAGGAAAGGAGGTTTCAAACTTCCTTTAGTTTAGGAACCACTGGACCTCCCTAACCAAAAGGAGAGGAGAAAATGCTGCCCCACAATGCATTGCAGCCGCAGCATTTGCCGTCACTCAAAGAGTCGGCCGTTCACGGAAACAACCGATTATGACCGAGAAATGATATCATGAAAGTTACAGTGCTTATTAAGCATTTTAAAACGTATGTGGTAAGTTGCCAAAGTGCTTTGTTCTGAACGTTCATCAGTATTATAATCAAAAAGAGAAATATGAACGTTAGTTTTTACTGAAATTATCAAATAAAGTCAACATTTCACAGTCTTTACTGAGCTGTGTGGAGTTTGTTCAACTTGTAAAATATGTTTGAATGGTGATATACACAGTGATAGATGTTAAGGACTAACGTTTATAATAAATACATTTGTATTGATTTTAAGATCTTTTCATAGTTCATACAATCATACGTATTGGGATCATTTGTATTAATGTGGACCGGAGGGAGAGGGTGACGAGCATAAGTTTCACTTTCCTTTTTTATTTCAATTCCAACTTTGGTCCTGAAGAATATGTTTCTCTGTTGTCCACGTTCATAAAGCATAAAACAACAGCATCAGAGCACGGTGCAGAGTCTCTAGATGAGTTTACAGTAGTCCCTCGTTCTTATTAAACATCCATGTTGTAGTCCGCTATAGAAAACTGTAGTTTCCATAGTTTCCCCACAGCAGCAGACGCACATTTGTGCCGTTTCACTCAGAGGTCAAGGGATAGACGTTAGGAGCTGATTTTTGGATTATCCGACCGCAACCCTGCTGTGATTTTAGTGACTGGGGATTGTGGGTAATCTGCAGACTTAGGGTACAGGGTACACAAACACATCAAAATGAAAATATTGTCTCAGTAGGAGGGTCCGTGTATTTCATGGCTTCATGCAGAACATTGAAGTCAACATTTGAAATGCTGCACCGCTTATCTTTTCTTTTGCCTGTCTCATTATTTTATTCAAAGAAGAGAGTCCTACACGGTAATGCTACACTAATATTAAGAGCATCATATCATTTTTTGGATCAGTAACACTGTTAGTTGCGCAGGAATGTTTCTGATTTCAGGGTGTTAAGAGTACACAATTAAAAAAACTAATGAAAATGTTGATTTAATTATTTACATTTTAATATTGCTAAATATTGCGCTTCAAACCATATTTTTCGTTGTTAAGACTTTAAAAAACAACATTTGTAACTGCGAGTTTGATCTCCCGCTAGCTGCACTACAACACTGACCAGTTGTTTACAGAAAAGAAAACCAACTTACTCATTTGATGTAACTAGTCACTTCATTGAAATAAGGATTCTATTGAAAAGCATCAAATGTGAACATGTACATTGGGTACCGCCCTATTTCTAAATACATTAAACCATTTTGGCAAAACATCCATTCATATTATTAAAGGGCATTTCATAGTAGGGAAAACACAGTTGGGCGAAATTTGGGACAAATGTAATATTCTTTCCTAAGCCCTGCCCCTTTTATTTGATCACATGGTTCCTTTAGCTTAGCATTGCAGGTTGTAAGTGGTTATAAGGTTCTGAGTAGCAGCAATGAGATGACACCATACCAAAACAAAAACATGATTACTAACAAAGTTTGAGTTTCAATTCAATAACCGTCCCCTGGTTCTTATTAAATCTGGATTATGCCATTTTGCAGGTTGGCGCGAACATGTTCACAAGGAGAGAAGTCTTGCAACAGAGGCCAGGCATGAGCTGTCTGACAGAGATGAACACAAACTGCAATTACTGAAAACAATAACTATTTCCCCAGAAAACGTTCTGTTCTTGGTTTGCCATGCACATGTTGACTCAATCATGTTTACCCTGTTTCAAAGCTTTGTGTGGGGCTGGGAAACTGCCCTGTTAGTTATGAAGAGAGCTTTGTCTGCACAAACTGTAAACATTGCTATGATTACATTCAACACAACACATTGCCTACTCTTTCTCATGCGCTGTTCCTCTACTCAGGGGGGAACCCAGCTGAGCCTGAGCTACGACCCAGATCCAGCCTCTAGTGCAGTGGTCCCCAAACTAAGGCCCGCGGGCCGTGTACGGCCCGCGTCCACATTTGGCCCGGCCTCCTGAACAATACCAGAGACGCATTATGATTTTTTTTTTAAATTTAATTATTATTTTTTGAGTCTGGCCACGCGAATCCTAGACTAGCCCCTGTCAAAATGTTGTGACCTGCTCTATCGAAATCAGTCGCATTGACCCGAAGACACCTTTTGAGTTGTATACACTGTTGGAAAGAGGATATTCCTAGCTTTCTAATGATATCAGGATTGTTTTTGTACTCCAAATATTAAGCGAAATATGTCACATTATATAATGACTGTCACAGAGTCATCATTTTGAGAAAAAGGCCTTCAAAGTTTCCTCTTCTCTGGAATCCATCGATCTGATTGGTTATTAGCAAATGATCAAAATACTACCGAGGGAAGATATTTTCGTTTGGAGGGGAAGCTCGCGAGTGTGTGTGTGTGTGAGTGTGTGTGCTTGTGTAATTTTGCGTTTGTGTGTATTGTGTTTGTTTCCCGGGGAAAACACTCACGAGAAACACCGGCTGTCGTTATGCCTGCTGTTCTCCACTTGTAATTATGCCAAAGCTTCAAAGTTGTATTTATCATCTGAATTTGCCGAAACAAGTTTAATATTCTGAAAGCCAAGACTTTGTTTAATTGAAATCAGATGAAAACAAACTGTAACGGACCCTGCGGTGTTATCTATGATTACTATACTCTTACATTCATAATTTCAGCGGAGTGAGGGGGGGGGCGGCGCTGCGGAAGAGCAGATTGCGAGTGAGAAATAAATAAATTGGAAATAAAAGTTTCATATTCTGAAAGCCAAGACTTTGTTTGTTTAAAATCAAACAAAACACCCGAACCCCGAAAAAATAGTTTTTTTTTACGTAAATCCACGTTTATTTTGAGAGATTCTGCTCTGACAACTAAGCTAAACTTTTACCTGTTAAGATTGTGCACGGCACAACAGAAAGTTACAGTAATTTTCAATGGACTTCTTTTCTGTGAAGAACCCAGAGAGGGTTATTTGGTTATTATTTATTTCATAAATAGTGTTATTTATTTCATTAATAGTTATTATTTATTTCCTGACTTTTTTTCTGTGAAGATCCCGGAAAGGGTTATTAATATTTGGTTATGTGTGGCTTTCTAGAAAACAATAAATGTTTACGTTTAGACACCCATGCGATCGTCACACTTTTTCTGTTACAAACTGACCCGGCCCCCATCAGAGAAGGGAAAAGTTATGTGGCCCTCACAGGAAAAAGTTTGGGGACCCCTGCTCTAGTGAATGTCCTCCATTGCCCTTTTCAAATATGCAGTGACAGTAATCCAGTTTTTAAAAGTTGTTAAAAGTAACAACGCTAAACTGTAAGAATACTTTGTTACAAGTAAAAGTCCTGCATTCCAATGTTACTTGAGTAGAAGTAGAAAAGTATTGGCATCAAAAAGTACCTTAAAAGGCCTTTTTATGCTCATAATTGTATTGTGATCCTCTACTGGGACAGGTCTCCATGCTCTAATGTTCAAAAAGCTCTTTATTTTTCTCATACTGCCTGTGCTGCAGCACCTCTTTTCACCCTCTGTCTGAAACCAGAGCCCAGTCTGCTCTGATTGGTTAGCTGGCCGGCTCTGTTGTGATTTGTCAACTGCTTATAGGAGTCGCGTACAATGTGTTGTTGTCTAGCCAATAGAAGCGCAGGTTACATACTGATGTCACTAAGATACAGAAGTTAACAAAGGAGTCCAATGGAGGCGTTTCAGGCAGGGGGGGGAAGCCTTTCAAAAGTAAAAGTACTTGTAATTCGTAAGAGCCAATTCAGAATAATAAATATGAAATGACTGGATTATGACTATTTCTATAAAGTGAATTGACGCTGCTAAAGATGCAAGTCATTTAAAATACTTTATATACTAAAATAGAAATACTAAGGTTAAGTACATGGACCTCAAACGTACAATATTTGAGTTAATGTACTTTGTTAAATTACCTCATTTTTAAATATGTATCTCTGTGTATTTACCTGCAGACCACTCCTCCCTCTTCCCGGCCCATCCAGCAGCCTCCACTCTCCAAGAAGGACGAGATGCTCACGGAAAGAGACACAGGTGACTTTTTCTGGACTGAAAGACTGCATTTGTTTGTTGTCAAAAATGTTTCTGAACCTTCTTCATGCCTGACCTTTTTTACAGAGGCCTTTGGATATACTCTTACTGTTTCGCAAATATCGATTTTTGTTTCATACATTTATAACGTAGTTTTGAGAGATGGGAAATAGATGTTGTACTTCCGCATGCGGACACATGACAGATCTCACCTGTTGGGCATGGTCGGGGGGCTGTGGACGAGTTTATGATGATACATGTTGTTGCAGTGTTCAATTTCCTCCAACTTGCTTATCTGAGCCAGCCAGAGCTTGCTGAAAATGTGCTCTGATGTCTCCATCTAGTGGACATGAGGAATATTGCAACAGTCACTGGAGTGTCAGTTTAGTTTGAGCTTTCTCTGTGAATTACATTCAAATATATATTATGTTAATGCTGCTGTCTTTACTTGAAGTCTACATATGTTTATATACATAATATTTATAACCCTTACAGATGATGTATCCCTATCTGAATAAGTGATTGGCCTACAGATATCGTGAAACAGATTTCCTTTTTTTGCTTTGCGATCCAATACTTTGGCACCATCTAGTGGTGTCAACACTAATGCCAAGTAAAATGCAGGTTCTTAGTGCACTCCTCATTTATGAAAACTATGACTAAGATGTTCGTCATCATCCTTTCTCTCCATGAATAAAAGGCTGCACTGACGTCATTAAACACAATGAAAATATCATTTTAAATGCAATATTGTTGGCCAAAGTTAAGATAAAAATAAAACAGATTATATTAATTCAAGATAGTACCTAATAGACATTTGACACAGTACTAAAGTTTAATAGCTGACAAAAGGAACAGCGTATTGATCAGTTCATGACAGAGAAAAAGTGCAGAGACATCAAACAATCTGACTTTCATTATGAAAAGAAAGGTGAACAAATGTCTGACATACTTTACTCTGTGCTAACATCATTTGTTTGCATCATTTTAATGGCAAATACACAGCGTCTTGTCGATTTATTGTGAGAGATGATTTCACATTGGATAGAAGCATACTTGGAATGAGTAAAAAACTGTTCTTATTTACTCAATTGGATTTTTACTTAAAGGCACAATGCCTCCGCCTGGATTTTATTTTGCTATGTTCGGGACAATTCTATACCAAAATATAGCGAGGGAAAACACAAAGCAAAGAGACATCTTGTTCCCAACAAAAGTGAAGCACCATTACTCTTGTTGAGTTTGTGCCAACTTAGTTTGAGGTTAGTTTGAGAAGCTTTGAAAGTCTAGTCTCTAGCTTAATCTACAGGAATAGTATAGACTCAAGTAAATAAATAAATACCATAGCTGAATGTTAAAAAATACAAATTGCTTACCTCAGCCATGTTACTCTATACCAGGGGTGTCCAAACTTTTTTCACCGAGGGCCACATACAGGAAAATATTCGAAGGGCTGGGCCACTCACTAGAGGAGAGGTATATTGCCTCATAAGTTACAAGTCAGAAAAATATATAAAATGTAGGTAAATTATGGTCGATATTAGGCGCTTTCACACCGGAGTACTTTTCCTAGTATAGTTCCGATATAGTTCCGAAAATGTGCGTTCACACGGTTCACACCAAAGAAATCCGGAACTAGAACTTAGTTCATGAGAACCTTTCCACCCCCTTTTCAGTCCCTGCTAGAGAGCAGGTTTCATGGGAGAAAAAGGTTCCTATTTCTGATTGGCTGGGCGGATTGCAAACCACGCCCCGTAAAACTCCCAAACAGTTTTGTGAAGCCGCCATTTTATTTGCTTGCATTAGCATTATTAGCATTAGCATTAGCCCAGCGCACAAACGCAGATAGACTAACTTATGGCAACACAAAATAAAACATGGGAGCGGTGGAGTGATGAGGAGGTGTCGACGGTCTGGCGATTTACTCGGAAGGCTTCAGTAGAAGCTGCTGGGAGTCCCAGCAGCTTCTACTGAAGCCAGTCCCCAACTCCGGGGACTTCGGGTGCAGTGGCGTTTCTATACAAAAGTGGTGGGGCACAAAACACTTAGATGTCTATATATAAGCTTCTGCAGTGAGGTTCATGGCTGGCACTGACTCTTCAGGTTTACAAATATTATATTTTGACCTAAATCAAAATATAATATTATTTTCAAAAGCCTCTTTAGTCTGATGCTTCGATTACTTTTAAACAGACAGTTCAACAAAAGGATACCCAAAAAAATGTAATTTTATCATGTAAATATTGAATTGTTCTCTCTTAGTAAGATCCCATTTTCAATCAAATGGTGGTCTTACCTTGACTTGAAGATTAAGTCCATTTGCCTATCCTTCTGGACAAAAATCTCTATTACTTTTTTGTAAAAGTCCTCCTTATCTTCTTGTAGTTTCAAAAGTCTATCATAAATCTAAATGATGGATTTATGATTATAAAATGATAAAAGTAGGGTAGACATGTGGATATTATCCGGCTGAACAAAACGTACATTTATCTAACAGCTACGTTTCCCACAGATCTTATTTTGAGCTATTTTCTAAAATTCTATGGAGAAATCTCATTGCTTTTTTGTCGAGGGAAGCCATGCGCAGCTTACTTCCTGGTTTTAGGACGCGTCTCTCTCCTCCTCTTCACCTGCTCTTCACACACCACACTTTTCACGGCACACGTACTTACAGCCAATCAGCTCTGAATTATGTGAGATGACGTATGGTGGGTGTTGAAGCCAATTTGCTGTTGGTTGTGCATGGGGTTTTGTGTGTGTGTGTGTGTGTATGTGTGTGTGTGTATGTGAACGAGTCATCATCTAATCTGCGCACCTGGGAGCACGGGAGGTAATCAAGGGCACAGGTGATCAGCGGGGATGAGAGGTTAGAGAGGAAGCCACACGTTTTTCAACCGTGTTGACCGTGCGCGTGATTGTTATATGTTAACCAAGATTTTAGATAGGCCTAAAAGAACATTTTAACATTGTATAAAGCATTACAAATTACGTCATGGTGGACCTCATCCTTCACCACAACACGCGTTGGGAACTCTGACTGCTAACCTCCATGAGTGGCCTTTTTTGATGAGCGATCACCGCTATACTTGTTGAAAAACCCGCTCCAATGAATGAATCAGAGGATCTCGGACGGAAGAAGGAGCTGCTGCGCTCCCACACAACTCCAGATGATTGCTGACATGTGAACGCTGTGAAAGCCACGAGGAACCACGGTAGGATCGTTCAGAATTGTTGCAAGCTGTGAAGACCTTCTCATATCAGGGTAAAGGTAATCCTGCGACAATTCTAAAATAAAACCTCCCGCAGCTGCTGTGTTACTGTCAAAATGAGCCAAGAGGGGAGTCGGCCTAAAGTGCCTGCCACTCAAAGTGATACAGAGAGTGGGCTCGGTAAAAGACAGCCTAAACTCACTGTTAAAGCATTGGAATTAATAATAGCTTCAATTCAACATGAAAGGAATTCAAGGATAAAGAAACTGCATAAATTAACAAAGGATGTTGAACAATTGATACTTTCAAGCCAAAATGTGTCTGAGGTGGAATCCATGTGTGACATTTTTGTGAAAACAATGATCGAATTAAATGAGTTGCATGAGTCCCTGAAACCATTAATACCAGAGGATGAAGTTATACAACAAAATGAATGGTTTGAAACACGAATACATGGCAATCGAGAAATGATGAATACAATGAAAAGGTGGTTGCAAACTACAAAGGAGCACATTACACATCCAATTGATGATGATGTGGTAAATGTCAATGCTGCAACCAAGACTGTGGTAATTGATGATATCCGTCCAAATGACAGCGTTTCTAATGTAACCGGAAGAACGTGCACATCAGCTGGCCGCTCCAGCCTGCAGGTCCAAAATGTCATCCATCTCGTCTGCATGTATCAAGGCGGAGGCTGAAGCGGCTGCTCTCAGTGCTATGGCAGCTATCCTCAAAGAAAAACATGCACTGGAGTGTGACAGCCTCGCAGCAGCCAGAAAGTTTGAAGAGGAGCAGATCAGACAACGCAAGGAGTGGCTTGAATTGCAAAGTGGAATTGCTGCCCATACAGCAAAGGCCAATGTGCTCAGGTACAGAGTATCTGAGGTTCAAAGCTCAAGGGCTGATTCAAATGGAATGAATTCATATCTAGACAGAGCCAAAAGGAAAATCTCTCTTAGACCATCTGCTACAGAATTCATCCCACAAGGTTCAGAAGGTCAGTTCAACCCCTCACCAAAAGGGGGCAGCAGAGCGATAGTGTCAGTGGAGACTGCACAACGATGCAAACTTGCAGTACCATAATCCTACAGAAGAGGATAGGCATGTTGCTCTGTCAATGGGTGCGCGCCCCAAAGATTCAAACCAGCAGTTGCATCATCCATCAGTAGGTGGCAGTAACACTCTATTGCCAATGGAGGCATTCACAGGCACAACAATACCAGAAGGAAATGGATCTAAAGCCTATGAACTCAATCCCACGTCATCTCAAGTATGTCAGCAGACATTCTCTGCCACACAAGTCACTCATGATCTTGACACGCATTTGGTGCAGGAAACCAACCAACATACGGGTTCAGTGCAAAGTAATGTGAATCAAGGCAACATTATCAACATCATGCAAAGGCAAAATGATATCACAGCTCTGTTGGTGCAGCAACAGTCAACATTGTCACTGCCACCAAGAGAAATACCAACCTTTGATGGAGACCCTTTGGAGTATAGTGCATTCATACGAGCATTTGAACATAGAGTGGAAGCAAAGACTGCTACCAATGTTGATTGCCTATACTTTTTGGAACAATACACAACCCAAAGAACTGGTTAAAAGCTGTCAACACATGCCACCCGACAGGGGATACCAAAGAGCAAAGACACTTTTGAGAGAACGCTTTGGAAATCAACAAATAATAGCCACTGCATACATGGAGCAAGCGCTTGGATGGACACCAGTGAAAGCAGAGGATGTTAAAGCTTTGCAAGCTTTTTCTCTGTTTCTCCGTGTTTGCTGCA